CATTGACTAGAGGATCAAAACCTGCCAGGTTAATCAACAGTGGGTTTTTTCAGCAGGGTTTTCTCCTTGACAACACTGAGAAAATAAAATGATAAGGTACAGCCATTCAGGAGCCTGATTCGCTGACACCCCTGAATTTTCAAGGGGCATGTAAGACAGGAAACTCATCTCTTGCAAAAAAAATTGCTTTCAATGATCAAGGCAACGTGGTTCTTTGAAAGTCTAATTAACTGCATGTATCTGAGAAAGACTGAATGCACTGAAAATCTAAGATCAATCCTCTAAACTATTCTTGGCAGACTCGTGTGTTGTTTAAGCTTCTGTTCCCATTAAAAACCATTACATTCTTTACAGAATCAACTGTTGCTGCAAGAATTTGGCTGAAAAATGACCAACTAATGAGCTGCAACCTAGAAGTCGAACATTTAATCTAAATCTACAGTAAATAAATGTTAATACTGTGTTTCAAGATGCCACCCTTTAACTATGCAAAGATTTACATCTGTACTGTTTAGCCCTCTGACTTTCTACTTCTTGTAGAGACAAGCTGAAAGAGTTGGAGCATTCACACACTTCTGCATTCATGTCTGTAGATTATGAAAGTGGTTTTAAAATAAACCTTTAAATCTACAAATTATGAATACATTCAGAGAAGACATTGCAGACATACACAGCATATCGATGAAAAACTAACAGCTGGAATAAAATCACTTCAGATGTAAATAGTCTGTATTATGGGAGTATAGTGGCATGTGTCTAATTAGTAGGCTAATACAATTTCTGAACTTGGAACTCATCTTAAATAACATTCAGAGTGGTTATCACTAAAACTTTTTTAGGCACAACATCTGTTTTCTGGTATTAGGTATTACTGGTTCCTGGTGACTTTATGCTTCTTAAATTGCCAAAAGGAGAAGCAGTCAGACTTCTGACTTTATCCCCACTAAGTGTGCACCTCTTTGTAAACCAGTTTGACCTCTCCATCTCCAGAAAGCTTGAAATACCTGACTTTTTACACTGAAAGCTCTTACCTCTGATTATTTTTCTGGTCATCGTCGCTTCCAAAATCCTGAAAGACAAAAAAACAAAGCAGGGAATATGAAGAATGTACTACACTGTGTAATTTTAGTACTGGGTCCTCGATTTCAAATGAATATCAAGGAAAAGTGAACTTCTTCCTGTACTTAAAACAACTACCGTCATAAATGTAAGGTTTGGAAGCTACAGGCCGGCACACCTGGAGAATCGCTCCTGTTGAGTCCCAGACTGGACAGACACGTGTACACAGATGTGTGTGTCATCTCAAAGCTGACATTCATTATGAGCATGATATGTCAAGGCTAGGACAAAAATGTTTGTGTCTGTTTCTGCAAAAAACTAAACTATGGAGAATAAATCTAGGAACTGGATGAACCTGATAGTCATGTCTTGTCAGATATTTAGGCTGTGAGCTGGTCCAGTATTGACCACCAGTGCCATCTAGCGGTCCTCTCTGGCGAGTGTTGTTATCTCATCTACTGCAAACATCCGCTGAATCATAGGACACCTTCAAATGACACCGGTTCAACTAAAGCACACCACAACAAACAGCCACGTCTCCCCCATGCTGGCTGACTTGTGGAATAGTGAGAAGAAAGTGGTATTAAAAACCCAGTTACCATCACAGTTGCCTCGGCTGAGCCTACTTCTGAGCACATAATCCACTTTCCTAAAACTAGAAACTGAAGCATTATAGTCCTGATGTTATCACTGGCACTTTGTTTGCTGCTTAAGTGTTACTTCTCAAAACTGTTTTCCTTAGTGAAAAACCTACTGCCTACTCATTACCTTTTTTTGTTTTTCTACTGTGGGGTAAAATACTAGACTAGTCTATAGACAATGAATACTTTAGATTATACTTTCTGTGTGGTGCTGCATACAAGTGAGGTTTAAATTCTGGTAAAGACCCTTGAGGTATTTCTCACAACCAAGTAGCACCTCTGATCTCACATCACTTGTCTATACTTCGCAGACATCCTATATCAAATGTTATTCTTGGATTTCTGCAAATTTATGAACATTTGACTGAACTGTAATTGTGAAAATTGGTGGCATTCCCCTTTAAACTGTCCTTCCAAACACTGAAGTCGTATTACTAGCAATAAAACTAAATAACTGAGGAAGGAGCAAATGTTATTGCAGCACCAAAATGAGCACTTTGTTCTGACAGTCAAACCCAGTGGCTTCCCCCTCCCCCTCTGCAGGGTTTTGTTTACAAATCCTCTGGAACAGTAGCCACAAACAAAGCTAGTGGGACTGCTGGTAACAATAAGGCATACTAAGTTTACTAACGCACACCAAAAACACACAGCAATTACGGAAGCAAGGTGAACCCCTTCATGAAGGATATTAAACACCACCCACAATGTAGTGCGATACGGGTTCCTGCAGGCGCGTTCCCTGCTCTTACTCATATTGCGCACACAAAGACAGAGCCCCGGCTTTTCCGCTTACCTCCGCCGCGCTGCTGTTGGCCGTGCTGGCCGAGGATGCCGCACTGGGGGTGGGAGAGCGCTGCAGAGTCACCAGAGCCATGGTCGGTGGGCTGCAGCTGTGGATGCAGCAGAGGAGGAGACGAGAAGGGAGGGGAGCAGGATCTGGGAAGATGCGCTGCTGAGATTGTCTCTGTCACCGGGGAGAAAATGCCTAGTCAGACTCTCATCCAGCAGTACCTGACTCTTGAGCCCCAGCCGTGCTCCCTTTCGGTCCTGCTCCGTGCGTCCTCTGCGGTTACCGGAGTCCTCATGAGCGGGAAGAAGCGGTGAGAAATTTCCTCCGTTTGTACCGAGCCAGCAGCAAACCCCGAGTTTTCATCGGTGGTGTACAGACAAACAAAACACGGTGCAGGTTGCAAGCGGGGCAGAAATTACATGCAGCTTTGCCGGCTGCCTGTGATTGGCTGGCCTAGTTCGCGTGTGCGCTGTCATTGGGCCAATGTTGTCAAGGTACCTGGCCAGACTAGGAACTACAAATACACCAATACTAAATACAAGAGGTGATTGAAAATACTTTGCTCATGTTATAAAATGCAGTGAGGTTGACACAGTGTGGATGATTTTCATGATTAAGGATAAATCTTGTTTTCAAGGTTAGCCAATTACTTGTCTGATCTATTCTATGATCCACCATCAGAAAAGAGGCCGGCGCATTGTCCTCCATTAGTGTTAGGTCATCAAATGATTGTGTCCAACCCAAAATCCAAAACTCAAAAACATTCATTTTATTAGCACTGTTAAGACAATTAAAGCAGCAGTTTCAGAAGCTTAAGTAAGACAATATCTGAATTTTATGATAGGTGCCAGTTAGTTTCCTGTCACTTGACTATATTAAGGCTGTAATTAAAATTTTATTGCCAAATTATCTGGCAGTTATTTTCTCAATAAAAAGATTTTTTCATTATATAATGGCTGTTAAAAAAAAGTCCATTATAATTTACCACCACCCAAGACTAAATGCCTTATTTTGTCCTACTAACAGTCTGGCCCCCCCTCTGAAAAGCACCAAAAATTCACATTTGAGAAGCTAAAAACAGGCTCGCATTTCTACTTAAAGGCTTAGAAGAATCAAATAGTTGCAGATCTGAATGATTAATTAACTGACTACTTGTTGCAGCACAAATCTACTTGTTAAGGTAGAGCCACAATAATAGACCAGGTATCTCTTAGTGTATAAATTACAATACTGACATTTATTGACAAAACAGAATAAACCATAAAGCAGATTGAATGACTTTATTTGACAAGCAGCATTTGGCTTCTTTTATAAATAAATAGGTTACAAGAAGTAATTTTTATACAAAATGTATAAAAATAAAATTCTCAGTCTCTTGGGGACAAGGCTTAAAATGTGTTGCTCTATGCAGAACCTGCACAGTGCAACACTGCTTTCCAGAGTGTCCCTCTGTTGCTCTGTTCTCATGGCCTAAATAGAAAAGAGGGTAAACAAACCAGTCCAAGTGTGCATATAGGCCTACCCTCAGTTATCGCTCCCTGCATGTAATAACATTGTCCCCCTGCTGCTCTTTACCCACTAGTCAGATGCCTCAGTTCACAGTTCAGCAGACAACTGTTGCATCTGCAGCAGCCTGACAGGTGACAAAATAGCCTTTCTTTCTCTCTCTCTCTCTCTTTTTAAAATCCCTCCTGGTTGATCTGCGGCTGGTTCGAAGACTGCGGTGTACCATTTGATTGGCTGGTTGTTGTGGTCGTACTCCTTTCAGATTCTTGATCAAGACTGGTCTCCTGCAGACTCCTGCCTAAAGTCTCAATGGGCAGGATCAAGGATGCAACACCAGCCAGCAGACAACAGCCACAGTACACTGACAGGGTCAAATACACCGATGTCCTGAGGAGCACCTAGAACCAAAACACAAAAGACTGATATGAGTTGCAGAGAATCACAGAGCCCGTTCTGAAGGGGTCTGACTGATGCTGAAACTAATTTTCATATTTAAAGCTGCAATACAGCATCACAATGAGTCACAGTGTTGTTCTGCAAATAAATACCAACAATACAGTTGGCTGTATACATCACATACAAATATACTCATCCATGTACACAAGGCTGTGCATACAACTGCATGAGAATGCAAGTGCCGCAGCACACTTTGGACAATGACAAGTCTTTAAAACTCATGGTGAGATTGGCACAAATTTTACAGCAATTATTTTGTGGTCATCTGAGCATAAATCCTGATGCTTTTGTTGTGTTTTGTTTGACCATTCTTATTGGGTTGTGTAATAAACACTGCAGCCTGTAGTACATCTAGAAAAATGGCAGCATTTTCTGAAAATAGGAAAGTCAGAGATACTGAATGGTTATCTGGCAGTGGTTTGTTTACGCTCAACATAAATTAGTAAGAAATTTACAGCCAGCCCAGAGTGGCTCCCCTTCCCCCTCACCTGTGCCACAAAGGGGGTGATTAGGGCCCCCAGCCTGGCTACTGCACTGGAGGTCCCCATTGCTAAGGCCCTGTTTTCTGTAGGAAACACCTGATAAAAAAAAAAAAGAGGAGAGAGAGTTTTGTCTAAACATATGATTAGTGTAAAAATGGGTTACATTTTAGGTGGACCTACCTCTGGTGTGTAAACAAAAACAACTTGGTATCCTCCAGAAATAAATGCTCTGGCAATGAAGATGAAGACTGTAAGAGCTGTCCTGCACAAACAAAAAGAGAAACAGATTTAGAGATTAGGCTGCGGGTTTACATATACTGGTGCTTTTCCAGTATGCCAAAATAATGCACACAAACCTACCTCCCAATACAAGCATATAAGGGTAGAAGGGACAAGGAAAACATGAAGAAACACAGGGCCATGCTCTGCTTCCTGCCAATATACTCGACAACCAGAATAACTAAAAGACCTGGAAGAAATTTGAAAATCAAACAGGAGTTGTGAAGATATAGTGAGCATGAATTATAAACCAACAGCCACTCCCTTAAACAATAAGTCTGCTGGCACGGGTGGTGACATAAGTGAGCTTAATACTCTAAGCCTGTTTTTTTTCCCCTTAAGAGTCAAAACGGCAAATGTGTAAATATGAATGTAATATGTGAAGACGGTTTTTAAGACTTATGTCTAAGAATAATAATTCTTAATAATAATAATTAGGTCTTAAATTTTGTTGTTCAGAGTTTAGTGAGAAAATAAGGAGGCATGCATTATATGGGCTTACACTGTTATATGCAAAAGCATCAATGTCTTTACCTTACAGTCTGAACTATACATCACAGCTTTAGAAACTGCTAATAGAGGGAGCATGTCACCTGGGAATTCAGCTAGCGTTGTCCATAAAAGGTCTCTGTAGTCATCTGATGTCAGATATTTGCATTCCAGACTACAGCTCGGTTCAATCTTGGCTTGTTGGGTCGCTGTAAGAAAGGAGAGCAGCTTGATTTGGGTATTTGCTCAAAATGAAGGTATATTATGACAAAGCTTAAAAGCTGATCTGCCTGGACTGTGTTACTTACTCCCACATGAATCTCCAGATTGGAACATCTCAGTTGTCAAAAGGACTATCCCATAATAGGAGAAGGCGTTTGAAAACCTATGGATATAATAGCAGTACAGTGACTTAGGAACTAAGCTGTGTACAAGGAGTTGCATATTGTGCATGTACACAGAAGCTTAAAACTATACTTTAACACAAAGCCCCTCTACAAGATCACGTTGTGATTGACTGGTGCATACTTCCAAACAATTCCAAAACATCAAACCTGGAGGTTTCCAGGCCGGTTGTCTGCTTTGCTTGAGTATTAATCCAGCCTTGATCTCATAATGTAATAACCAGATTAAATAAGATAGAAAGACATAGTAAATACTGTGTTACTCAAACTAACCATATAAACCACAAAAGGAGAGTAGTCTTCCAATACCTAGGCGTAAAAAGATCTTTGATCTGTCCACGGTCATTCTGTAAAATTAAAATGATAATTAAGCATTGAATTGGACTTTCATATCTCCTTTTTCAAATTCTGACACATATCTTAAACTTCACCTGCTGATTAGCGGCTATCCTCCCTCGAGGCATGGCCTTGCCATTGTCTTTGGCAATCCGTGTTAAAGTGTCCATGGCCCTTCTTCTTTTCCCCATCAGCACATCAAAACGAGGACTTTCAGGCAGCCACTGTGTTCAGTGCCACACGAAGGTCATTTGAGGGTTTTACTCTGGTTGGGTTTATTTTAGGGATCTTTATGAAACATACTTACAAAGCAGAAGCAAACAAAAATTGCCATTGGTATAGTGGACAGGCCAAGCAGCCACCTCCAGCCAAGAGTGGGCATTATCCACAGGGCCAGGAGGACCTCGAACACAGCACCTATTGCCCAGAATGCCTGATGTACACAAATGCATAATTCAAATGGGATTTAATGAGCAGTTTATTTAATCAGATCAAAGATTCAGCACTGAAATAGACCAAAAGTCATGCATTAACATGACTTAACAATATGCATTAACAACACAATCTCCACAATACCCCAATCAACATGATGCAGATGCCTCTCATCTTCACTGGGAGGAATTCTGAGTACAGCGTCACTCTAAAAAGAGACAGAACATTTGTTCCAAATAATTTATTTATTCTTAATCTTTAAGGAATTATAAAGGCATCCCATCATGTATAAAGAAAGGTGTAAACTTACGACTGAGGAGCTCCTCCGATGCCAAATCCCACAAGGCCCCGCAGGACCAAGATCCAGCCATACATTGGAGCAAATGCGCTCAACAGGCCGTAGTACAGAGTCCAGCACATACAAACTGTTAGACCCTATTTATGACCAAAAACACATAAGATGAACAGGTGATAGTGTACAAAAACATTAAATCCTATATGAGAAAGCTGGACTATTACTACTCACTGTTTTTCTGCCATATTTGTCAGATATTTTCCCCCATATGGGTGAACTGCACCCCATCCCGACAAACACCACCTAAGAAAACAAATGTAGCTCAGCACAAACATAAGCACACGTCACAAAACCAACAAGGTGTGGAATATTCTCTTTCTCTTATTATATTCTTATATATATATTTTTTTATATCTTCATTTATATTTTTTTTATATCTTCATTTGCTGCTTTAAAGTGCCTTAGATTTTGTGTTAGTTGTGTAGCTACTTTATATTTCATTTGTATTATGTGCCATTCATGTGGATGGCAGAGTAAGAATTTCATTGTACAGGGAAACGCGTTTCCGTACTGTGCATATGACAATAAACACTTTGACTTTGACTTTGATAGCACCAAAGGAGAATTTACCGATGTTATGAGAGCCACCTGATAGCCAGGCAGCCTCCACTCACAGTTCAGCTGGGGTCCTAAGACACTGAGGATCATCATCTCCATGGCGTCTGCTATCTACACTCAGAGAAACCGAGAACTGCATGAGAGATGTACAATATCTGGAAATCAGTGAGGACCTCTCTGCAGGATTCTTACCCATGCCAGTCCAGTGACCAGAGAAATTTTCCACTGGAATATTCCGAAGCCGATGGCCTCCAGTGCATCGTCTACTGTAAAGGTTTCTGAAAAGAGACAAGATGGTCACTGCAAGTTGACTCTCAACTGTAAAGAAATGTATGCAGAATCGCTCAAGAATCAAAACAAGTACTTAAATCACTTGATATGCAAAAATATTAAGAATTAAACATTCAAATCAAAGTTTTAAAAACATTACATTTGTTCATCAAATACGCTGTTATAGATTAAATAACCAGCAACTATATAAAGCTGTTAGAGCTCCACTTTGAAAACTACAGTACTGAAGAATGTCAGGTCCGCTCGGCGCGACCTGCCTCTCTTTCTTTTTTATTTACTCTCCCGCTCTCAGCTGTGTCGCATCGGGTAATTAGTGACTCGTGGGTCGGTGCGCACACCTGAGGCGTATTCCAGTGATTTGTTGGCTTCCTTATTTATACCTCTGGCAGACACCCTGTCGGAGCATTGCAACGTACTATACTTAAAGTAAGGTATAAAAAGGTTGTGTTTGACCCGCAAATTTTATATATATATATA